CCAACAACACAAGAGACGACTCTACACATGGACATCACCAGATGGGCAGCATCGAAATCAGATTGATTATATTCTCTGCAGCCAAAGATGGAGAAGCTCTATACAGTCAGCAAAAACAAGACCTGGAGCTGACTGTGGCTCAGATCATCAGCTTCTTATAGCAAAATTCAAGCTTAAACTGAAGAAAGTAGGAAAAACCACTGGGCCGGTAAGATACAATCTAAGTCAAATCCCTTATGAATACACAGTGGAAGTGACGAACAGGTTTAAGGATTTAGATTTGGTGGACAGAGTGCCTGAAGAACTATGGATGGAGGCTCGTAACATTGTACAGGAGGCAGCAACGAAAACCATCCCAATGAAAAGGAAATGCAAGAAAGCAAAGTGGTTGTCCAACGAGGCCTTACAAATAGCAGAGGAGAGAAGGCAAGCAAAATGCGAGGGAGATTGTGAAAGATACAGGAAATTGAATGCAGATTTCCAAAGAACAGCAAGGAGAGACAAGAAGGCCTTCTTAAACGAGCAATGCAAACAAATAGAGGAAAACAACAGAATGGGAAGAACCAGAGATCTGTTCAAGAAAATTGGAGATATGAAAGGAACATTTCGTACAAAGATTACCATAATAAAAGACAAAAGTGGAAAGGACCTAACAGAAGCAGAAGACATCAAGAAGAGGTGGCAAGAATACACAGAGGAACTATACCAGAAAGAAATGGATGCCTCGTACACCCTAGGTAGTGTGGTTGCTGACCTTGAGCCAGACATCCTGGAAAGTGAAGTCAAATGGGCCTTAGAAAGCACTGCAAATAACAAGGCCAGTGGAAGTGATGGTATTCCAGCTGAACTATTTAAAATTTTAAAAGATGATGCTGTTAAGGTGCTACACTCAATATGCCAGCAAATTTGGAAAACTCAGCAGTGGCCAGAAGATTGGAGAAGATCAGTCTACATCCCAATCCCAAAGAAGGGCAGTGCCAAAGAATGCTCCAACTACCGCACAATTGCACTCATTTCACACGCTAGCAAGGTTATGCTTAAAATTCTACAAGGAAGGCTCAAGCAGTATGTGGATCGAGAACTCCCAGAAGTGCAAGCTGGATTTAGAAGAGGCAGAGGAACCAGAGACCAAATTGCAAACATGCGCTGGATTATGGAGAAAGCTAGAGAGTTCCAGAAAGACATCTACTTCTGCTTCATTGACTATGCAAAAGCCTTTGACTGTGTCGACCACAGCAAACTATGGCAAGTTCTTAAAGAAATGGGAGTGCCTGATCACCTCATCTGTCTCCTGAGAAATCTCTATGTGGGACAAGAAGCTACAGTTAGAACTGGATATGGAACAACTGATTGGTTCAAAATTGGGAAAGGAGTACGACAAGGCTGTATTTTGTCTCCCTGCTTATTTAATTTATATGCAGAATACATCATGCGAAAGGCTGGGCTGGATGAATCCCAAGCTGGAATTAAGATTGCCGGAAGAAATATCAACAACCTCAGATATGCAGATGACACAACCTTGATGGCAGAAAGTGAGGAGGAATTAAAGAACCTTTTAATGAGGGTGAAAGAGGAGAGCGCAAAATATGGTCTGAAGCTCAACATCAAAAAAACGAAGATCATGGCCACTGGTCCCATCACCTCCTGGCAAATAGAAGGGGAAGAAATGGAGGCAGTGAGAGATTTTACTTTCTTGGGCGCCATGATCACTGCAGATGGTGACAGCAGCCACGAAATTAAAAGACGCCTGCTTCTTGGGAGAAGGGCAATGACAGGCCTAGACAGCATCTTGAGAAGTAGAGATGTCACCTTGCCAACAAAGGTCTGTATAGTTAAAGCCATGGTCTTCCCAGTAGTGATGTATGGAAGTGAGAGCTGGACCATAAAGAAGGCTGATCGCCGAAGAATTGATGCTTTTGAATTATGGTGCTGGAGAAGACTCTTGAGAGTCCCATGGATGGCAAGAAGATCAAATGCATCCATTCTTAAGGAAATCAGACCTGAGTGCTCACTGGAAGGACAGATCGTGAAGCTGAGGCTCCAGTACTTTGGCCACCTCATGAGAAGAGAAGACTCCCTGGAGAAGACACTGATGCTGGGAAAGATGGAGGGCACAAGGAGAAGGGGGCGACAGAGGACGAGATGGTTGGATAGCGTTTTTGAGGTTACCAGCATGAGTTTGACCAAACTGCGGGAGGTAGTGGAGGACAGAGGTGCCTGGCGTGCTCTGGTCCATGGGGTCACGAAGAGTCGGACACGACTAAACGACTAAACAACAACAACAACAAGACGCACCTAGTTTTTAGAGGAGGAAAACAAGAAAAGCCAGCAAGAGCTGCAGACACGATCACTTGGCGCAGCTCTTTAAAGATAGAGCGGCTCTTGCTGGCTTTTCCGGGAGATGGGAGAAGGGACTGATGGGCTGCCCTCCATCCCTTCTCCCACCTCCCTGAAAAGCCAGAGAAAGTTGCGCAGCTATCGCTGAAGCCAGCACAGCAATTGGGAGAGCTGCGCAGCGCCTCTTGTACTACCTTCCCAGAGAAGCAGGATGAGGGACGGAAGGGGCTCCGTAAGGGCTCACTTCCGTCCCTCCTCCCGCTTTGCTGGGAAGGTAGCACAACAAGAGGCGCTGTGCAGCTCCGCCTCTTGCTGTGCTGGCTTCAGAGATAGCTGCATAGCCTGCACTCACTCCATAAGATGCACACACATTTCCCCTTACTTCTTAGGAGGAAAAAAGTACGTCTTACGGAGCAAAAAATACGGTACCTATTGGTTGCAGACTCTGCCAAATTAAATTCAGACTATGAGGATCGCAAGAGCAAAGGCACTGGTACCCACAAACATGTGGTCCCAATTCCAAGGCCCCCACCCCACCCTTAGCATAGTGGGGTCCCTGCTTTCACCTCCCAGCACTCCCATTGGCCGTTGTCACACAACAAACCTTTTGTTTTGCCCACCCAGCAGCAAATGATGAGTGCCTGCAGCACTCCTACCACCAGCTGCTTCACATCACAACTTGCAGCCACAGCTGCTGAGCTGCGCATGAGCACTGGCCTGTTGCAGCTGAAGAGCAGGAGGAGGAAGCAGCCACTTGGGCAGCTGCACATAGTCCTCCCCGCTCTGCTTATTGTTGCTGTGTCTTCATCGTGCCTGTCTGCAACTCTTCACATGCAGAGAACATCACAAAGCAACAGGGAGGCGAGCCAGCTCCCATAGGAGTTAACGTAAGAGAAATAAGAACATAAAAGAGCCTGCTGGATCAGGCCAATGGCCCATCTAGACTAACATCTTGTTCTCACAGTGGCCAACCAGATGCCTGTAGGAATCTCCCCCACTGTGGTTTCCAGTAACTGGTATTCAGAAGCATTACTGGTCCTGGCCATGGGGGTAAGAGAATAGTCATCATGGCTAACAGCCATTGCCAGCCTTACCCTCCCTGAATTTGTCCAGTCATCTTTTAAAACCATCCAAGTTGGGGGCCATTATAGCCTCCTAATGAGACCGGGTACCATTGTTTAACTATGTGTTGCCCGAAGAGTTGATTGCACTTCTGCAGCTGCTGCTCAGTCTCTCCAGCATCAGCAACAAACCCTGTTTATCAAGGTTGGAAAACTGTGCCTGTTTTGCTGTAGTGTAACAGGAGTGGAATGTAGCAGTCAAATGATGGAGAGGGCAGCAGGGGGTGCCTGCTTTCCTGGATTTGTGTGTGTGTGCATTGCTCTCTCTAGAGGGACATGGGTGGCGCTGTGGGTTAAACCACAAAGCCTAGGACTTGCCAATCAGAAGGTTGGCAGTTCGAATCCCCACGACAGGGTGAGCTCCCGTTGCTCGGTCCCTGCTCCTGCCAACCTAGCAGTTTGAAAGCACATCAAAGTGCGTGCTCGCTTCGGCAGCACATATACTGAAAGCACATCAAAGTGCAAGTAGATAAATAGGTACCGCTTCAGCGGGAAGGTGAATGATGTTTCCATGCGCTGCTCTGGTTCACCAGAAGCAGCTTAGTCATGCTGGCCACATGACCCGGAAGCTGTATGCCGGCTCCCTCGGCCAATAAAGCGAGATGAGTGCCGCAACCCCAGAGTCGGTCATGACTGGACCTAATGGTCAGGGGTCCTTTTACCTTTACCTATTGCTGTCTAGTTTACTGAATGCCCCATTACATTTTTATCTTGGGTCTCCAAGTCTGGAACTTTAAGCACTACACCATGTGGAGTAGTGGGGGTAGGAGGCAGCCCCCCCTTTTTGCTTGCAATATACTGAATAGGTGGTGGCATATTCTACGGGTACTTCCTTAATGACAAAAGTGGGGCTATTCTCCAGATGAAGCTGCAAAAAGGAAACTAAGCCAGATCTTGTGATGAGGATACTCAAAATTCATACTGCATACTTCCCATTTATAAAGTAATAATGTTACACTTAAAGAGGGGGAATGTAAGCCTAGGTCCTAAAATTACCTAGATGCACTGCTGCTCAAAAGCTTGAAGGTATCTTAATAACTTCAGACTATTCTTCCTTTGACTACAACAATATATTTCAATTTTATTTTATTTTATTTTTGTACTTTCAGGTAATTTCACATTGACTTCTCTGCACAACCCTCACAGAACTTGTGTGCATTGCAGCGGATTATGGGGAGTGATTTATTGCTTATAAAAGGTGCACTGTTCAGGCCTGAGCAGTCTGAACTGAATCACATGCTTCCCCTCCCCTGCAGCTGTGCATTGCATGGGACAATCAATGGTAGAGAGAGGACATGCCATGACTGACCTCATTGACAAATCCCTTGATAAACTTCTAAGGAATCCCAGTAGATGAAATTACTGGTCTAGAACAGGCATAGGCAAACTTGGCCCTCCAGATGTTTTGGGACTACAACTCCCATCATCCCTGACCACTGGTCCTGTTAACTAGGGATGATGGGAGCTGGAGGGCCGAGTTTGCCTATGCCTGGTCTATAACAATAGGTGAGCACTCATATGAAGATGAAATGGATTCCTTACCGTCTACTGGAGTTAGAGGGGCCTTCGTATCGCTCTGGACAGAACCAGGCACCAGTCCAGATCCAGGCCTCCTTGTGAATGGTGGCCTCATCTCAATATCTCCTGGTTTCTCTTTCAACATTGTTCCATCAAGATGATCAGCCTGAGGAAGCTTGAGCCGATTGGTATAGGGAGGAGACACTTTAGTCCTACTAACAGGAGAACTCCCGTCAAGATTTTTTGCCGCAACTTTCTGAGAGATATATGCATTTAATGCCGCCAACAGAGCTTTTCTGTCAAATCCGTCATCTGGCTTTAGTGGGAATTTATCTCTCTGTGGTTGGCTGAAGGTTCTCACTGGGATGTTCTCAGTATATTTTGAATGGGCTGCTGCTGAATGGGTTAAAGCAGGAGCTTTTCCTTTGGAGTTCTGCACCATGTAGTTGATGATGGTGTCAGGTGGGACGTTATCAACCTAGAAGGAAAGGGAAAGTTGTATTAGAATCGGTCTTATGCTAACCCCTTCTAATTAGCCAACATGGGAACTCCATAAGAATACATAATGGTGTGTTTCCTGCTTTAACTTCATGTTTAAGCAGGGTGGGAGGTAGCCCACATTCCCTATGCAAATCAGGGCTGGATTCTGAATCATGTATCAATTATGATGCACATTTACATAGGTCTGTTTATTTTGTGCTGGCGCAAAGGGACACTTTGTTTATCTGTTTCTCCCTTATATAAGTTGCTATGATAGCATGGAAAACCTAGCATTGGAGGACCAATAATTTATCAACCCATGCTTCGGTTTCTGAGGTACACAGGGCATTTTCTGTATACCTCAAAACTGATATTTCTATTCACAAGAGCAGGATACTTGCCTTTAAAATATAATGAAACATGATTCTTAGATTTTTTATAAAGAGACAGGCTGTGCGCAAACGCACGTTTACATGGTATGCCTTAAACTCCCACTGCTGGATTGGGAAGCCGATGATTATTTGTTCCATTTATTTAACCAAAAACTACTTGGTTGTAATAAAACTCTTAAACAGTTTACAAGAAATATTAAAATTATCATTTAAAACGGTTCGAAACAATTAAGTATTTAAAAAATAATTTTTATTAACAATAACAAAGATAATATCTCATCAATGCCCACACGTCCTGATAAGCTTGCCTAAACAAAAATGATTTCAGCAGGTGCCAAGAAGAGAGCCTCCTTGATTTAAATAGATAGGGAGTTCCAAAAATACAGGTGCTGCCGCACTAAAAGATCCATTTCTCACAACTGCAGGGTATTATCCAGCACCTGTAGCAGTACCAGTTCTGCAGATCGGAGCATTCAAGTGAGCAAACATGGGATAAGGAGATCCAACAAGTACACACAACATTTAGTTGGCCAGTCGAAGCTGTTTCTGGGGTGTGGACACTGTCACATGCTGCCAGGGACTGGACAGAGGAGGAATGGTGGAGACCTCCTCCTCCCCAGCCTGAACCTTGCAGAGAAGAGGAAGACAGTATAGATTTACAACAGTGGTTTGCGGGAGGTCACAGCTCAGAGGCAGATGAGGGGCAAAGTTGGATAATGATAATGGGGGACACATCATCACTAGAAAGCATTCCAGACACCCCTTCCTCCAGAACCCGACGAGCATTGGAAGTAGGAGAGCAAAGAGCTCGAAGACAAATGGCCCTAAGCAGCCACCATAAGGTGGGTGGAGCTGTTGACGACTGAGGAGAAAAGGGGGTGTGCCTGGAGATTACTCAGAGCAACACCATTACTCCAAGAGGCTGCAATAAAAGACATTGGTAAGAACTTGTCTATTCCTGGCAGTCTACCATGTGGGGGGGGGGGATCGGATTCCCTGATGCCTGACACATGCTGGCAGCTTCTAGGAGACTTCACCCCCAGAGGTGCACTCCATTGTCTCTTGAGACAGATGGATGCCAACAATAAGACAACATTAGTTACAATCTACCTTGCAATTGAGAAATGCTGAATTTTGATGAGTTCCCCCCACCCCCCCAAAAAAAACCCAGCTTCAATTTAATAAGCCTTATGGAGACATCTGTGCCCCCTTCCCTGCCCACTGGTATGGAGAGACAGCAGATGACTTAGGAACACACCCGACCTTGATGTGTTTGATCCGACCTACTGATGTGTACAATGACGTGCAAATGCAATTTGAAACACAGTGGGCGGAAATGACCTTGCTGCATTTTAAGCCGATAATGTGTACACAGCCACACTTGCAGAGGAATCGAGTGCCCGTGGGATGCCACGAAAGTGAACAGGAGGAAGACTGGTCCTCAGCTCGGTTGCACAGCTCAGTTATGCAGTGCAATGCTTCCTGATGAAATCGAAAAGCACCCATACCGACTCGGAATCCTAATATCAGCGACATTTGTTCCCCTGCGCCAGTGCTAGGAACCTTATGCCAAAGAATATTCCTACTGCCTTATTATACTGAGCAAGTTGCTGGGGAATTGGCATTCATGCAAAGCATCCTGTGAGCTATTATTATGATAATGATAAACCATAAATGGCTTAAGATAATAACCTATTCTTCTCAAGCCCTTTAAGATTCATAACTCCTTTATCTGTATCCACAATTGTTGTTCAACAATTGGATGTTACTGTACGTCCGTAAAATAAGGGAGAAATAAACTGAATTGCAAGGTGCTACTTATGCTGTACATTGAATTTGAGCAAAGTGATGTGGAAATCGCAAAGACAAAGAGGCATTCATATGTTGCTGTTTTTTTACAAATGCAAAATAGTTCTTGAAGTCTAAAGAACAGAGGTCGCCTAAGGAGCAACACAGAGAGTTGCACATACACAACTAAAGCTTTCCCTCCCAGGCCCATGAAACTCCATGCTCCCCCACCTAGGCTCCTGAAAGTCAGAGACCCTCTATAATGCCTGGCTGTGGGGAAAGGAAAATCACTGTCCTCTCTACCTGTAAGCAGTCTTTGGACATCAACACTGTACTCTGAAAACACAACCAAATTCAAACAGCCAACAAAAGTAATGAAGACCCTTTCCTTTATACAAACCTTACGAGACAGTTTGCAAAAAGTTTGACCCGGATAATCAAAGGTGGCTTTTTTTAAAAAAAACACACACAGCTACTCGAAAAGTGCCTGAACACTCAAATATTGAAGAGGATTTGCGATTTCCCTGAGTCTCCTGTAAACAAACAAGCCCATCAAGAAGAAGAACACAGACGCTTCAAGCAGCCTTATACAAATTGGGTACAAGTGTCAATCGCAGGCTAAGCTGGTATCAGGAGAGGACCAGCAGTCTCTCAGCAGCTTGACAGGTCACAACACTGGCAGACTGGGATGCTCTTTGAAAATTCCTAATTAAAAATATGGCATCAACAGCAGTAAGCCTATTTTGAAAGCACCCTCATTTCTGACAACAAATGTAAAGTCAAAGAGAGAGAAAAAGACTAGAGCCACATACAGCCTGAAGTTCCTGTATTAACGTTAAAGCCATCTTTGACCGTGATTCACTATGGATGTAGACCTGCATTGCCCTGTTCTTTGGCATCTTTGTGCTGAAAGGTCTCTGTACTTTCCATTGGAAAACAAGAGAGGAAAGTTAATTCTATGTTATACTGGAAGTGCCGGGATGGATTGCACTGGATTGTATCCCTTGACGAAAGTTTGCCAGGTCTGATTTTAGTAAAGAACCTTTAGACCAGGAGATAAAATCCAACGCAGTCCTTCTTGGTACTTCTCACCCTTGTTTCATCGTAAGCTTCTACAATCTTCAGGTGGGGGAGAAATTCCTAGCAATAAATGGAACGCAATAGGTCAGGATATGTATGCACAACAGAAAGGTTGTTGTTGTTGTTTAGTCGTGTCCGACTCTTCATGACCCCATGGACCAGAGCACGCCAGTCACTCCTGTCTTCCACTGCCTCCCGAAGTCTGGTCAAACTCATGCTGGTAGCTTCGAGAACACTATCCAACCATCTCGTCCTCTGTCATCCCCTTCTCCTTGTGCCCTCCATCTTTCCCAACATCAGGGTCTTTTCCAGGGAGTCTTCTCTTCTCATGAGGTGGCCAAAGTATTGGAGCCTCAGCTTCGTGATCTGTCCTTCCAGTGAGCACTCAGGGCTGATTTCCTTCAGAATGGAGAGGTTTGATCTTCTTGCAGTCCATGGGACTCTCAAGAGTCTCCTCCAGCACCATAATTCAAAAGCATCAATTCTTCGGCGATCAGCCTTCTTTATGGTCCAGCTCTCAGTACAAACTGAAAACCCAGTTAAGACTTAGCACAGGTAAATAATGTAGTGGCAGAATTATGTGATCTTAGAAAAAAGCAATCCCAAGTCACACAACTACTATATTAAATAGCACCAGGATAATTTATTCTATTTTCTGTGAAGAGGAGGATGAGGGAGACCCACTGCATGGAACTTAGCTCTTCCTAATGTATGTTTTTAATCAAAGAATTAAGATCGTTTGTGCTACCGCCATTTTATCTGGTCTTTTTATTCTTGCCGAGTACCTCTGGACACTACTAACCTGCCTCATTTAAAAGTAAAATGAGCTTCACAGGGTAATCCCACAGCAGAATATCTTATTTATTTATTTTTGCAAATCTAATTGCTATTAATGACAGGGATTTGTAAATTCACTTTGCTGGCAAAATTAGCTGTATGGCACAGGAAATAGCTAGCAAGGGATAAGAGGGCAAAGAAAGAGAGAGCTGGAGGGGGCAGGCTGGGAAAAGCAACAACATGAACATGCATCAAATGAGGTTTGATATTTGAGCCAGAGAGTAATTACATCTGACAACAGTTGGAAAAATGCGGAATAGGCTTTATCACATTGGAACTACTCCATATGTGACTTGTGACTGCAAGCTATACTTGCCTGTTAAATAGTCATGACTTTGCTGAAATACAATTGATTTCAATGGGAACTAAGTGTGCCTAAATGGGGCTGCTTAGCTAGGTGGAGCCACCATCTAATCCAAATATCTTCTGGCTCTTGCCACTAAGGAGGTAAGATGGGAGCGCAATTTCTTCTCCTCCTCCTCCTCCTCCTCCGCCTCCTTCCTCCTGTACCAGCTCCATGCTGGCACAGCAGAAGGGCCTGAACAAGCCCCCTCAACAACAAATGACCCAGTGTAGGATCCAGGAGATCCTTGGCTCTCCTTGCTCTGCCCCTGAAAAATCCCACTTTGGAACCCTGTGCTTGCTACAGTGGGAATGCCACTGTCAATAGCTCCATAGCAGCTTCTGCAACAGTGGAACCACCTGCTAGCGGAGTCTGGTGAAGGGACACCTCTGCCATATGCCATCGCCCGCTCCTTGAGCAATTAGGGAGTTAAGATTGCTCCAGACCAGGCATGGGCAAACTCAGCCCTCCAGATGTTTTGGGACTACAACTCCCATCATCCCTAGCTAACAGGACCAGCGGTCAGGGATGATGGGAATCGTAGTCCCAAAACATCTGGAGGGCCGAGTTTGCTCATGCCTGCTCCAGACCATTGGTTCTTCTTAAAATAATGGCAAGCTTTGCTAGTGCATGACACATCAGCCGTTCTGAAACTAAGTCGATCTGGATGGGGTCAATGCCAAACGGTAGGCTGTCCAAGAATCCCATGCATGTCGCCTTGAGTTCCATGATGGAATAAAAAGTGATGTGTGAATATAAAATAAAAGATGCATTGCTCAGGCGAAGGAACTACTGTTTTATCAGATTTTGTCACGGTCTTAAGATTTTTTAAAACTATTTGTTAACTTTGAGTCATCCCTGTCTTTGCAGAGGATGAGCTTTAAATTTTTTTATTCTAAAGAACAGTTCACTTGACCCATCGTGGATGGTGCAGGTGACCTAGATAATACAGGATGAACAATAAAAAAGAAAATAAATTACTTTGAAACATGTACATTAACTTAAAGTCAGGTTGACTATGACACACTGCTCACTACGATTTACTTAAGTAACTGACCCTTCAGAAAGAAATGTCACAGAAGTGCACATTATTTCATCCTTTGAAGACTCTTAAAATATTAGACTAGCCACATCTAAGTGAGGAAAAATAGTTTTTCAGCAGCCGTCAAACAAAATTATGGTGCACTAGATAAAAACTGTTATTAACAATAGCTGAACTATTTGAAGGCTCCACAGACCACTCAAGATAACACAATCCCACCAAAAGTAACAATGATTACAAGGATAAGAATTCCTTGACATCGGAGGCTTCTCAGCGAAGGGGCATGCAAGCTCCAAGTCCAGCGTTCTCTGGACAAGATGACATGAAAATCTGCTAGACATACCTTTACTTCAGGTTAAGAACTGGACATGAGAGAATATCAATTGCATTCCTGCATGTATCTTAATTTTACTGAACAGCTACCACGATGGCAAGAACTATACCTTGTACAGTTCATGACATGTTCTCCATATCCATAGATACACAGGGAAAAAATCCTGATTGCGTGAACTGGCCTAAACTAAATTTTAATTAAGATGATCTTCTATTCTCTCTAATTATTTCATGCAAGCTTCGGGGAATGCTGTAACATTAAACAACCAGCAGTCATATTGAGTGATGGCAAGAGGGAGATCATTAATATATCATGAAACCACCAGTGGCTTGGCAGAGAAGATGGATCGTCGTAGTTAAGGATCTTACGTAACCTTTTCCTGTCTGAGATACGCTGAAGCTTTGAAATAGTTTCAACATCTACTTCAGAGGAAACCTGCATGAGGAAGGTTGTTAATTAAAACCCTCTAGTTAAAAGTGCCACGCTGCATATAGATGATCAAGCAAAAAAATTGGTCCAAAGACTCTCTTCAGATCAAAACTGGTAATAGTTTTGCCTGTGAAGCCTGACTGTGCAGTTGCCACTTGAATGGACAGACTGGAGGCTGAATAAACAGCCACTCTGCTGTAAAGTGCATCTTCTGCAAACTGCCTGTTCTATCATGTGTGTTATGGGAAGGAAACCTGGACAAACAAAATCAGCTGGCTTTCTATGGAGTTTAGTATCTCAAGCTTCATTCTCGACTGGAAAGCCAAAATGCCCCCAAAAGTGTTAAGTTGTGGGTGAACATATCAGACGACACAGCGATTCTTCAAACAGCTCTTGTTTATTCACAGGCCAGAACAGAACTGAACTGAAGGGTTCAGCCAGCCTGCTTATATAGAGCTCCACTAGAACGCAACAGTAACCATTTTCTGTAACTATCCAATCACTGAACGTCACTTTCAATTCCTTATTTGCATATGTGGACCTGAGTGAAAACTATCTACAATATCCCCCTGCTGGCCCAGGGTGAGAACTTCAGTACATAACACCCCTCCCCACCGAGATAAGGCGTTAGTTACAATTGTAATGGTTTCCTTATATTCAGCAATACATGTAATGGTTCAATTAGGCACAAAAGCATATCGGTTACATTTCACCTACTTCCATTAGACTGACAGTATTTGCATATGTGGACCTGAGTGAAAACTATCTACAGTATCCCCCTACTGGCCCAGGGTGAGAACTTCAGTACATAACAAAAAGCTTCCCCTGCTACTTTTATAACATCCTAGAATCTCTGCACCACTCAAGCTTCTCTGAATATCAAGGGCCATAAGTTACGCACTGAACTCTTACTCATTGCTGGCTCCTTCCTAGCCATACATACATTTTTTTTTACTGCAAAATATATTTGCTAAGTGAAATGTGCACAGTACCAAACTCTAGAGAGACATTTTATATAGGCCTTACATAATCACTAGAGCAATGTTTCTCCATCACGGGCGGGGAGGGGTGTATGCAGTTCTCGGGTCTGTGTGTGTCAGCTTCCAAAAAATATGTACTCACTCTCTCTCTCTCTCTCTCTCTCTCTCTCTCTCTATATATATATATATATAATTTAGAATATTAAAATATAAAAGTATGATGTGTTATGTTGGGAACATGAGAAACGTATATGATCTTCATGTCATCACAGGTGCACAGAAGTTCAGCATTATAATATGAGGGGCATTGTGTACCATATGCGCAGCAGTTCATCAAACACAGTGAAATTAATCAATTGCTTATTTATTTGGGCTGTTCATTCCCAGTAATTCTGAGAACGTCAAACATCACATGTTACTGCTATTACATATCAAATAGTGCTCAGTTTAAGGCAGAGGATTTTTAGTGTGCAGTTGGATGCAAAATTTTCATTTGGGGGAAGACACTGTGCATTTAGTGGGGGGGGGGAATTGGAAGAAAACTGGACACACTAGGGGTTTGTCTTTATTAACCACTTAAATGACAATGTCAGGCACTATGTAAGCAAATTAGATGAACTCAGCTGCCATTATGAAACTGCCCAAACCATATTAAAACACCTTGTTCTTTTTGGCCAGAACCTCCTTCATCTTTGGGCAAGTAACACTTGGTTACATCCTTCTAAACACACTTAAAATACTCCTGGTTTTGCTCCTTAGGTCTCTCTCACTATTCAGCCACAACCATTGCCTAGACAAAAGAACTGGTCTTTTGGCAAGCTTGCTCTCATACTTTCTACCACAACAGATATAGGAACCCAAAAACTGGAAGGGGCTCAGGGCATCATGGAAACTGACCTTCCCCAAAACCCACAACATGAATGCTCATTGCTTACTGTAGCATCAACCACTGAAATGTAGGTGTGAACAAACCACCACAGGTTAAACGCTATAGATGATGAAAAGAAAAGAAAAAAGTATACGCTAGCCAATTTTTATTTTTATTTTACTTATCTGCAAGGTTATGAAAAATGGCACCCCACTGCCATCAAAATTCCTTTCAGTAGAAAGTTGAAAAAGAACTTTTTGTCCAGCCATACCTATTAAGCAAATGATTATAATCCATGTCAGAGGGTGGGTTATGTTCAGTTCATTTTTCTGGGGAGGAAAGGGGGAGCTGCATAATTGCAAATTTCAGCCATTTATCACCTCTCAAGACCCTACTACTAATTTAGCCAGGTGGTATCCTCTAAAAATGTAAAGTAAGCCATTACATTGAACACCATCTAGAGAACTGCTGTTTGTTAATTAGGTGGCACTTTTAATCAGTGCCCTAAGCTAATACTTACCATACTTAGGCTTGCCATAGCACTTTGTCTTCGAAACACTTAACAAAATGTTATCACCGCTCCTCTACATACAGGGTAGCTGCTAAACAGTCATACACCAGAGGTGTAGAAGTTAGGTAAGTAGATCAGGGTCTTCTCCTAGATGCCTGGGTGATTTACAGTAGATCAACAAAGGTTTCTGGCTCCTAATTGTTTAGCAACAACAAGGTGACTTTTCCTACCTAACTGAGGCTGCTGAAATGAAGAAAGCTAAAAGGGATGGACTTTTATGTGAAATGATTGTGAGCTCAGTTCAGTTCTGGTCTAGAAAACAAATTTCCAGACTCAGAATGTGCTCAGAGGCACCCTGTGTCAGGAACGTGCCCCCCTCCCCAGAGCACAGGATAGGAGTCAGACTCAAAAATTGAGCTAATAGAATGAGGGACTGACTCTGCAAATGATAGCTGGCTGACAGAGTCAAGAAAGGGCAGCTCAACCCCCTTCCCGGGGAAGACTCTGTTAGCTCCCAAGAAGAGGAAGAGTTGGAAGGCAGCCAGAGCATTGCTAGGCAATCAGCAGATAAGCAGAGGTCTGAGGCTGTGTCAAGTGGAAGTGGAGAGGGCGGAGGCTAGCCTCTCAGTCTCCGTTCTAGGAGACTGAATAAGATCAGAGGGCAATGGAAGGGCAAGAGGGGAAAGGCAGGAGTTTGGCGTCCTTCCTACTGTGGGAGGGGCGAAGATTCAGATTGACCAACTATCATCAATGCGAGCAGGCGAGAAGCCGTGCTCTGGATGTGGTTTTCTATAAATAAACATACATAAAACTGCCGGAGAGTCCTTACTACTTATCGGGGCTTGCTTGCCCGCCAGAGATCATTACAGCCTGTTCTTTAATTATAACCAGCAGTGGTCAGTCTGGTGGAGCAGAGCAATCATAGAAGGAGAATCAGTGCCACTGTTTTGCATTAACCATTGGCCAGAAAACTAATGACTGCTGTGAGATTGCATACACCCCAGGCCAGCCTCCCAGGAAGAATATCACAAAAATGGCAAAATCTAACAGCAAAGAAAAAGAAAAAGAAATGTTTGAAGGAAGGACAGGAGGAAACAACAACAACCACCTTACCTTAAGAGGAGCTTTGTTGCCTCTTATCTTTGAATATAAATTTGGAATTGCAGACTGGGAGAGAATGTCCAAATAGGCAAGGTATTGCTGAGGAGACTTGGCAAAGTTCACATCCTTTTCCAGACCTAAATTCCTGTTGCTTTCAGCTTTCTGCTTTGCGGACCTGCAAGTTGAAATAAAGTTAAACAACCTTACTCACATTATAAAACGTGCAGTGGACTCAGAAATTAACCAACACCTTTGAATATTAAGTATATAGTCCCCAGCAGCATATAACTAATACTTTTGAGAGGTGAAATACACTAGAATATTTTGAAATATCAATGTTTCAGTAAAAAGACACAAGCTCAATAAGATATATTCAGAAATGGTGACAGAAAACTCTTTGATCCAAGAGAGATTTCCATGAACTGAAAGGAGAGTGTGATTTTCACAGATTCCTTTTTACTCTTCCAATCTGTTGCACCTCCCTCCATGCTTTTTCAAGGGGTCCCCAACCCTTTTGAGCAGATCTGGGAGGGGCACAGGGGTAGCCGAAGGAAAGTGGAATCAACAAAAACTCCCTCTCTGCCTGTTTGCTAGGAGAAGCTTCCACTAGATCAAAGGGCTGTGGAAGAACAAAACAAGCCCGTTGTTTTTATTTTTACTTAGTATTGGTATGGATGCCTGGGATGGAAGGATGGTTAACACTGTCCTTCAAAGATTAAAAACAAAGTCCCTCAACTATCTGGAGCATTCCAAAATTCCTAGTGGGAATTTGGCCTGGCCGCCAAATTCTGCACCAGTTGAAGTTTCCAAACCATCTTCAGAGGCAACCCCACATATAACGCATTGCAGTAATCTAACCTAGAGGTTACCAGATCATAGATGACAGATAAAGTGAAAATGTGTACATTTATCCCGATCAAGTGTCACTTCAATTCAATCTTCTGTTGATCCCAATACGATTACATCTCTTTTGCCCCATGATTGACAGGTTTCCCTTAATCAGCAACTAACTGAACAAGAGGGTCTTGACTTCCCAGAAAGAATTAAGAACAGGTTGAGCTAGAAGCGTTTCCATCACTTTTAATAGTAAGGCTTTGGGCCAAGTATAGGTTCTCTTTGGTCATAATAACCATTAACTTACCTTGTACAATGAAGGAAATGGGGGGTGGGGAATAAAAGGTCTTGCCTATTTATAGATGCTGCCAAATAAAATCATATTTTGAAGGAATGTGCCACTCATATGACTGTGATGTCATAAGCTTAATAAATAACCCTGAATAGGAGGTGAAATCAGAAGGAACAACATCACAGTCACCTGACTATTACAGGTCAGTTTCTCTGAGATAGCAATAAACATACTGTATTTTTCCCTGTATAAGACTATATTTTTTCCTAAATTTTTGAAGTTTAAAATAAGAGGTCGTCTTATACATGGATAGTACATAGTGCATTTTCTTAATTTTGGGTTAAAAAAATAGGGGTCGTCTTATACACGGGGGTGTCTTATAGATGCAAAAATACGGTAACTTTCTTGAACCAGTTGATTACATATAGCATGAAGCTTCTTTCTAGACCTGAGCAATCACTAATTGAGCAGCTACTAGATCTACAATTAACTGTTTACATATAAGATCTGCCCTACCTTTATCAATAACAGACAAAATACATAGTGAAGGATCCAGGATCACTTTTTCACCTGTAAGTGTACAGATTTCTGTATTCACTTGTTTCCAAAATTCATGAAATTTGGTGCAACTCCACCACATGTGCCAATAAGATCTCTGCTCCCCATTGCCCCACCAGTACAAGAGAGATCCTGAACTTGCAATGTGAGACAAACATACCAGTTTTTTAAATAAATAAATAAATAAGATTTTCATCTCCCATAATCGAGAACATAAAACATTATGATACATAAAATGCCTGGGTATTTACCTCTGTGCATCAGGCTCTTCTGATGAGAAAGCCTCAGGGTGCCAATCATGAATCTTATGGAGATATGAGACTTCACGGGCAATAACATGCTGTGTATAATCATCTTGCCAGGTAAAACCTGGAAAACAGTTGTGCAAAAATACAGTTTTAGAAACTCTGCACTTTGACAGAGCAAAAACAAAACAAAACAGGACATCTCAATCTTGTGTTACAAAAGCAATTATAATGAACAGAAATTTCAACTTCTGCAAGATTTTTAACAAACTTTCTACTTGTTACAGCTGCAGATTTCCTTCCCCTGCAAAAATCACTGTGGTAATCAGACCTTTCACGTGAAATACTGAAGCCTTTTAAAATGCTTTCTTCTAAGAAGACGGTGGGTGTTGCGATGAGATTTAAAAGGGAGATTACTTAGAATTTTAGTGTTTCTTAGTCACTATGGACCTATAAACAAGCTTTACTGTATAAACAGTATTTACTGCTTTGTTGCAAAGAAGAGGTGTTTGACAATAAGTGAGTCAAAAATACAAGTCATGCCAAGTTTCAAAACTAAATTGTAGCATATAATGGAAAGTGGCTTTTCAAGGAGGACTACTATCTCACCAATCTCACAATATATTTTCCATAAACCTTTTCTGTGACCTGCTCAGGAAAACGTAGGCACACCCAGGTATGATTAACACTGATCCAGTGGTAACTATTCTAATGGACAGTGGAATATTATATATGAAGACCAATTTATGTTTTATTTACACTCAACTGTTGCGAGAGACCTTTAAACAAGGGCAAGGTGTCACTGTAAAAGCAAATTCCATGCAATTATGCATTAATTACATGCACTACTGATCACACAATAATTATACAACTCCAAGAATAATTGTTAGATTTGTAAATGTTATGATTAACACTTTTAATTTATGTAGGCTTACCACCTGGAGTTATATGTAATTATTCAGTATCTGAGCCCGGTTCTGGCTGGGGAGGGCGGGGTACAAATAAATTATTATTATTATTATCATCATCATCATCATCATCATCATCATCATCATCAACGTATCGCATCCTGGCAATTATTGACATTCAGCTTCCCCAACCTAAGTCCACCTACTGAAATACTATCCACTAATACAGATATTGTTGAGTTGAGAACACATCTATGATAACAATTATTACTGTATTAAAACTCCCACCAATCACTTTTAATTGAACTTCAGGTGCATCTCAAATCACTTGGGAATGCATCCTATTCATTGGAACATGTTTCCATTTGCTCAAAAGACAATTCTACATGTGCTAGACCAGGGGTCAGCAACCTTTTTCAGCCGTGGGCCAGTCCACCATCCCTCAGACCATGTCGTGGGCTGGAATATGTATTTTTTTGGGGGGGGGAATGAACAAATTCCTTTGCCCCACAAATAACCCAGAGATGCATTTTAAATAAAAGCACACATTCTACTCATGTAAAAACACGCTGATTCCCGGACCGTCTGCGGGCTGGAGTGAGAAGGCAATTGGGCCGCATCCGGCCCACGGGCCTTAGGTTGCCTACCCCTGTGCTAGACCATAACATGGCAATTTCAAAGCGTAAGGCACATGTGCAGAAATTCAGGCAATAAACAAGCACTAAAATCAATGGAGGTCTATTTCAGGGGCATACGTTTGTTCTAAAACCATAATGAATGCATCCAAATTCATTCAACGTCAAAATTATTATTATTATTATTATACCCCACCCATCTGGCTGGGTTTTCCCAGCCACTCTGGGCAGCTTACAGCACATAAATAATTGTAAAACATTAGACATTAAAAATTTCCCGATACAGGGATGCCTTCAGATGTCTTCTAAAAGTCAGATAGTTGTTTATTTCCTTGACATCTGATGTCAGGGCATTCCATGTTCATATTCAAAATGAATATGAAAAATAAATTTTCATTTCCAAATTAGTTTTACATTGGAATCATTGCCTCAGATTTTGGGTCTGTGAGTCTAGGAGTCTTTGTCCAATGGCAAATCTGATATTCTGGAGAAAGGAGGTGGTAGAATTCCTGAGATTTCAATGCCACGAGATGGAAAATACCAAATGTACAAGCAGGAGAAGAGTAGCAAAAGACAGGTTGGGTCTCCATTAAAATAAAAAGGAAGAAGAAAAAGAAAGATAAAATGAAAATGAGTACAATTAAAATAAAGGAAAATTAATGTGATTATATTTTAAAACATAAACTGAAATGAATGTGGTTTTTAAAGGAAGCAAACTGAAAAATTAGACACCCTTTATTTTCTAGAAAATGTGTTTCAGATTAAAGTGTTAATCCATAACTCCTTTTAAAATGCTGTGTTTGGGGATAAGTCACTGGGAGCATATTGGAACGGCTTTTGGAGCTACAGTATCTTTAACATTGTATCTCCAGGATTAATATTTAATATTTGAAAATGCTATGCTATTTTTTCTTCAGGTTCTTTTTTATCCTGCTCTTCCTTTGAAGAGGTGAGTTTTGTGCATATTTGTTAATATTTTAACAGTTCTAAGAGGTAGGTTAGGCAGGGAGACAGTGCCTCATCCATAGCTTTCTGGTTAAAACAAAGATCTGGTGCAGACCTTCCTAACAATCCATCACTATGCCAGACTGGCTGGCCTCTTGCATTAAGCTCCTCACCCCAATCCAAAACACCTACGGGAGTCAAAAATCTACATAAAAGTATTTCAAGATCAGGCTTGGGGAAGCAGCTTTTTAAAAGTGCACATCTGTATTGCAGCTGTCGGTTCAGGAAAAAACCAGAATATATTTTTGCTTCTGCAAGTCTTTCCAGCTGGATGAAAAGCTGTTCATGTCAAAACTTTTGGACTGGTTTAAAAACTATTTTTAGCTGCTTTTATGATAACGTTTGCAATTCGCCTCGAAACAGGTGCAAAAGGTGATTCATAAATTAACAAGTGATAATAATTTTAATTGCCACACATCAGGTTATTACTTTTAAAATGATTGCTTTTATGCTGATTTATAAACTTGCTTCTAAGCGCACTGGTTCTTTATAGCCTACTATTCAACACGTTACATGGGGAAAGTTTCACTAAAAATATAACTAGTATTGCCTAAAACAATCAACTGCATCCTTTCACTGATTCATTTTGGAAAAGGGGGGGGGGATCTCACCCACACGGTCCGCAATAAAACAGCTCACACAACAGCACTAATACCAAGCTGACAATTGCAATCAAAATTAAGACTGAGCAACAGCAAATGACGCTACTAGGCAATTTCCTGTCCCTTTTGTCTATGCTGCCACACCTACTGGATTGCTCCTGGCCCACAACTCAATTATAACAATTTAACACCGATGGCTGAGCAGGATCACAGTCGTTCCGTTGTACACATATTATTTCCATGTCACTAATGTGGAACTGTATGGTGGGACACACAACTACCAATTATCTATCCCTGCTGGAGCTCTGCCTACACTGTACATATTTCCAACTGGGAATTCCCACAGATGGGCAATGCAGAACCGCATTCTTCCATTGAGGGATCTAGTTAAGACAATGGAGCCGACAAGTTATCGCTTGAAGCCAACAAAAATATAAACTGAAATGCTGCATGATTTAAGTAGCGTTGCTCGGGGAAGGAAGACTAGTTTGAGAAAGAGAATGGATTTTGTAAAATTGTTTTTGAGAAGCGCATGCGTGCATGTGGGAGCGCGCGCACACACACACAGAAATTAAGTATGAATTCTGCAAGCACCTTGGCATGCCCAGCAACTACGCATAATTTCTCTTCCTCTCCCTCTCCCTCCAAATCTAAGCCTGAAGCAAACATGGAAAGAGAAAATTGTATTACTGTAGTCCAACATTTCTCCCTGTAAAGTGGTACCTCTGTTTACGAAGGCTTCTGGTTATGAACGCTTCAGGTTACGAGTGCCGCTAACCCGGAAGTAGCTTCTCCTGGTTGCGAACTTTGCCCCAAGTAAAACTAACCCTAGCTGTTCCAGAACTGAAATTGGGCAAAGGAAGCAGGAGCAGCCTACCATTAGGCAAAGTGAGTCAGCTGCTTCAGGCAGCAGATACTGGGGAGTGGGCAAGGATAGAGGTGCTGAAGAACAACTTTGTATTCTACACAGCCTGGCCTGCACTCCCCAGGATTGCATGCTGCCCCCCAGGTACAGTGGAAGATACTCTCCAATTAACTGGGTTGAGGTAAGATTCAACTACCAGTTGAGTTAAGATCCAGAAATAGAAATTTGAGGCGGAGCACACGATCTGGTTTGCCTCAGATAGCAAAACGTATTGGGCCAGCCCTGGAGGGGCTTTGTTTACTCCTCTCTGGTAGGTCTGCTGCTGCAATGTGATGAGCCATAGAGGAAGTATCATTCTCCAGCCTATAGCATTAGTCTTGTATTTGCACTTTTATATGAAGAGGTCCTGATTAGTGACTTGCAAAGACAGTGGAACCTGATAGACTTACCAAGTTCCTAAAAGAGTTTACCATTCGAGAACCTTACCCATAAAAAGCAAAATTCCGCACAAAATTATTGCTACTATTATTATTTCATTTATATACTGCTCATATGCCAAAATAGCTCCAAAGCAGTTTACAACTATAAAATCAATGCATAATTAAAATACACACAGTAACAAATCCATTGGGGCATTACAATAATTAAGCAGTTCACTTATTTCAAACATGTATGAAATAAGTGGGGTTACAAATAAAATAGCATGAATAAAATGGAAAACTAACTGCTGTGTGCATTGTTTGAGCCCATGTATCCCATAACCCAAAATTCACCGTAAAAAATGAACACAATTGTGTATTGCCATTTACCAGTGCACTGCTGTGTCTTCCACTTCTGTAACAAAATATTACACGTTCCTTTTTACTACATGGCTCCCTTTTTCAAGCTGTGCCCTAAGATTAGTTTCAGCATACAGAACGATGATATGTTCCATTTTCTCTAAGTTTTTTCCCTATGCCCTCCTGCTTCTTTAGCCTACTAATTTTATTTCAGTGAGGAAACTCTTCAGTGTGATTCTTGGATATTTGCAGCCCCTGTGTCATGTGTGCTGCAAATTGCTAATGCCTCTGTTAGCTGTCAGAATGTCTGCGGAATTGTATGTGATTGGC